ACACACACACACACACACACACACACACACACACACACACACACACAGAACGCCTGTTAGTTTCTGCATGGTGTTCCTCGCTGTGCATCCTTTTTAAACTGATGGGAAGACTTCTGGGGTGAAATTGGAGTCACTGGGGCAATGATGTCATTCCAGAGTCTTCTGAGTGTCTCACCTGCACAATAGATCACTTGCAGAGTAACTACTGGCCGGAGCCCATAACTTGCAGTGTTGTATGCAAAATGCACTCTTGGATTTGCACAGACATTATCCACCTAAAGTATCCCAGCACTTCTTATTTCACTCTGTGTGGCTTAACATTCACTACTGCATGTTTATCAGCGTACTGCTGCTGAAGTGTATGTTCTTGATATGCTGTGGCCTTCATGTGTTAGATATCTAAGTGCTTTGTGGAAAATGATGGGAGGGTTCTTAATGTACACTTTAAGGAAAACTTTTCCTTAAGGGAAAAATATTTATAGTATCAGATTTCACTATATTTATTATAACTGCCTGGAGAAGTGTTGTGGTTTTTTTGTTTGTTTGTTTTGGTTTTTTGGGCAAAAACTCACAAATTTTCTTTTTTTCTTTCCCTCAAAATAGAAATGTTTGGAAATTTCTAGTTTTCAATCTGCTTTGTTGTCGGTTAAAAACATTCTTTGAAGAGGCAACCTCATAGTGGCTAATTAGAGCATGGGACCACAAGCTAAGCACTTGTGAGTTGCGCTCCTAGCTCTGCCACTGAGTCTCTACAGCCTTGGACCAAGTCACTTAACACAATTGTGCTTCCATGGCTGTTACAGGGGTGGTGCTGTGGTGAGTTTTGCAACTGACTTCTAAAGAAGCAGGATCAGCCTCTTAATTTATCTCCGTCATCTCTAAAATTATCTTCGCCTTACTGAGGAATTGAGAGTTCTATCCAGTGTGGGAAAGCTCTATGAAAGGGTGAAGTGTGTAGCTATATTTTTGTTTAAAGACTTGACTAGGATGATTATCACTTAGAAGCATCTGTTGTATCTTCTTGTATCTGCAGCATTATCCACTTAGGGTGCTCCCCACTGGTGTAGGGAAGGTTTGCAGTGTATGTGAATTGGGAGCATAGCTCAAGGTTGGGATGATGTTAATTACAAAAGAACTTGTGTCTAATTTTGTTTATCTTTTATCCCATTGGCTGCCTATCCATCCCATCTGGTGCCACGTGACCGCCCGTGGCTGCTACTGAATCAGTGGTGAAGCAGCGGATGCAGATGTACAACTCCCCCTACAAAACAGTCTTGGAGTGCATACGAACAGTGCATAGGACTGAAGGACTGGGTGCCTTCTACCGGAGTTATACCACGCAACTCACCATGAACGTCCCCTTCCAAGCCATTCACTTCATCACGTACGAGTTCATGCAGGAGCAAATCAACCCGCGCCGGGAATACAACCCCCGCTCGCACATCCTCTCTGGTGCCATCGCGGGAGCCGTGGCTGCCGCTGCCACCACGCCCCTTGACGTCTGCAAGACGTTGCTCAATACTCAGGAAAACATGGCCTTGAGTTCGGTGAACATCAGTGGGCACCTCTCAGGAATGGCCAATGCTTTCAGGACAGTTTATCAGCTGGGCGGTATCCCCGGGTATTTCCGAGGGGTGCAGGCTCGTGTCATTTACCAGATGCCTTCAACTGCCATTGCGTGGTCAGTGTATGAATTCTTTAAGTACTTCCTCACGAAGCACAAGCTGGAAAAAAGAGCTCCTTATTGAAAGACTTGACTAGAGCGAGCCTAAGGTTCAGATGACATTTGTATAACCTCTGAGGGATTCGCTCGTGTTGTGAAACATGCAAGATTTCTTGTGGATTCACAATTGAATTTCACTTTTCTGTCGGGGGCGAGGGGAATTAAGTGGTCATTGGAGAAATTTGGCACCCTCTTTGCTAGACTCTGAAGACTTTTTTTTTAATATATTTATAGCTTTGGAGAAGTGAAATTACTAACTGATATTTTTTTCCCCTCTGGATAAGCTCTAAGATGTAGTGTTACCACTTCTCCAGAAAACTTAGACTGCACCGGGGGGGGAAAAATGGTATTGAGATATTCTACAGCAAAGAAATTTAAATATCCTGTCACTGAACAAACTTTTATATATGACATAATATAAAATAGATGGATAATGTTTATCCTTTATTTTTCTATGTAGGAATTTTGTTTTAATACTATTACAGCTGGAAGTTGAGCTGTTTTTAAAAAAAAAAAAGCTGAATTCTTCCATCCTGACATGTAAGAACCAAAGCATTTTTTTTTAAATAGCCAGAATGGCTTTAATCTTAGCATTTAACCCAAAACAGTGGTCAGGATTTTCATTTGTACGTAGGTAAGCTGCCTCCAGTTTTATGGCATCCACTTGACACCTTAAAGGGGCCCGACTTTTAGAAAGTGCTGAGCATATGCTCTCTGAAAATGGTCTGTTTAAGGGGTCTCAAGTTGGGCAGTGAAAATCACTGGTTGCTCTTGAAAAACCTTAGTTTAATTGTTACTCCCATAGCTGACTTATGATTGTACTTGAAAGATGAGCATTTTTGGCAAACTTATTTTAAAGGTACATTTTGTGGCGTTTTAATAGAGAATAGGTTTCATTCCTCTTATTTATTCATAATCTTATTTTCCACTAATGCCTCGCTCCTGCTGACACATGAGTAACTGTGCAGGACTCATGCTCCCTTACATGCAGCACGTTACTCTTGTGCATAAAAGTGTGCAGGAGCAGAGTATCAGTTTACAGTTCTGTAAGACAACTCCTCTTGAATTGAAGAGTTGCATACTGACCACAAGGAAACTGTCAATCACCGTGCAAAATAAGCCCTTGGAAAGTGAAACCTTAAACAGGAGAACAGCAGAATCAAAACCTTTTTGTAAAGCAAAGCCAACAAACAGCAGCTGTTTGTTGTCCGATTGCTATGTATAAATGAAGTGTCCTAAAACCTAAAGTTGAGTGGATTTTAGTCCTTTGGGGACTTTGTTTGCTGCTACGAAATCCTATGCTTTATTTCATGCTTCTGTAGAAAAGAACTCCGTGCATTAAAAAAAGCACATCTGACCTTCAGTTCTTCTTTTTTTTGCAAGCTAGGTTTGTAGATGGCTCCGCTTAGCCTCTATACCTCATCGTCTTACAATGTGATGTTGAATCCAATGTTTACCAAGTATAGATCCTGCGCTTGAGGCTAGGAAAACCATTGACTGCGCTCCCCAAATTAAACCGACCACTGTTGCAAATATAGGGTCTGAATTTTAAATGTCTAATATTTGGTCCGAGTTATCTAATTTAGGTGCAGTAATATTGTAGAAGATGAACAGTTTTTGCTGGTCTAAAGAGCAAAAGCTGAACTTGTTGCTGAACTATAGATGCAGAATTTATTAACTAATAGCCAGTTGGCTACCTAGTTGGGACTAGGTGGCTAATATTACAATCAACGAAAAACCTAGCAGGATTTTTCTGGTTTTAGAAATGTAACTGAATAGTAACCCCCTCCCCCCCCCTTTAAAGGGACATCAGTGTGAAAAGGTTGATTGTACCTGTAAACTGACCACCTACTAGTGAAACAACAAACATTTAAACATTCCTAAAACTGATACTGCAGCAGACAGTATTTCTGTATTTGCTTGTTTTTTCCATTTGACAACTTTGTACAAGGTCGTTTTTGCTGTTTCTCCTGTATTTTGTTTTGTATGGGTTTTTCACATAGCAATATAGAAGAACCCTTTTTAAAGGAAAATTATGATCCAAAAGCTGGCTGAGGGCCTGGGAGAACATATAGGACCTGAAGCTACTTTTTCAAGTTGACTAGATTTGAAGTTGGCATTCCTCTAACCCCAAATTAAGTCTTGATTGTGCACCTTGTACCAATGACTTACATTTTTCTGCTCACCTGAATGAGGTGAAAAAGCTTTACTATGTCTAACATTTGCATTTAATTTTTTAACATGGAGTTTTTCATTTAAAGTACAGCTTAGTCTGTATCTATCTAATAATGAAAAATCACCATCAAATTGGGGGATTTCACTAAGGCCTGAGTGAGACCAACTGGCAGTCAGGTCCTTCTCTGTATGGTGGCTTTCATGTGATCTTACTCTGGCATTACACTAAGTTTGGCTAATTACTTTGGTTGACCAATATTTATTTGGGGAAGGTAAATCACTACAGGAAATACTTCTCTAGTGAATGTACATGCAACCTGTGTAAATTTTTCTTTACAAATGATAAGGAATTGTGAAACATTCTTTTCATGTCTATTGCTATCCCTTACATTCAATTAACTTTTCCTTTTTTTTTTTTTTTTTTGACAAGCTTAGTTTTTATTTAGCTTTTCAAAGTGCAGATTTGTAACCTCAGCCTATTGTAAGCATGGTATTGACACTAGAAAGCATTCATGCTCCTCTTTGTACCATGAGCTTGGTGTGAAAGCAGATGCAAGCTTGGCAGGGTTTTTAGCCTGAGGTTTTCAAAGGATTTGGAAGCCTGTTTAGATGACTTTGAAAAAATCTCATCCCTAACTTTTAATGAAAAGTGAATGGAGCTGGGGACATGCTCAGTGTATGGAAGAATCTTGTTAAGAATATGCTGAATACAAATCAAGTATGGGTTGGACACAAATCAGCCAAAATACAGGTGAGGTAAACTTTCTGAAAGGTAGGCCTCAGTCTTCCGTGAAGGCTTTCAAGCTTGGTTAGATCAGACTTCAATGAGAAGACTTCTTGTCTGCATTAATTTTTGATAGGTGACCGTTTAATGGGCAAGCAACATTCAAGAAGTATTCCTCCGTTCTTAGCACTTGAAAGTAATTGGTGAATGTGTGTGGTATTTAGAAACTAGTAAACATTTAGATTGCAGTATTTCAATGATGGTATAATAAGTAAACTTTATAGTCCAAGGACCTTCCTCTCCATATCATCCAGCTGCAAAAAAAAAAAATCCCTGTAGTGAAGTGAATGTTGATGGTGCTTTGGTGTCCAGATTCAAATGGAGGTGGATAGTTCACTTGTTTAGGCCCCTTTAAAAACTCCAAGTATCACCACCTTGTTCAACAGAATAAGGGTAGATTTGCACCTATTCAGTCATTTGGTAAAATTTTCACTACTGTTACTGCAGAGAGAGGATACAGTGATGTGAGAGTGAGCTGGGATTTGCTCCTGGCTCATGTATCGCAACCTTTTGTGCTGATGAAGCAAGCCAGAGCCCAGCTTCACATTCACATTCACAGTCCTGGGGGAGGTTGTAGAGCTGGTAGCTAGAAAGAAAACCCTCTAATATTGCAGTGCAAAATTCCTCTGGAAAATCATGTAGAGCTCCCGTTGTCTCAAATGCCTTGTTTAGACCCTTGGAGCATGACTTTTTTTTTTTTTATAATTCACTGTGACTCGGGTTTGATGCTAATTGAACAAAGTTTCTTGCCTTAGAATAAGACCAGCTAGAACAGCCTGTTTCCAGCATGAACTTTCTTTAGCGTGTAGAAGTCAACCTCTTAACCTCTGTAGCAACCTGCATGAATTCTTGCAAACGTTTCCTTTTTATTGACTTCTCAGCTTTACCACTTTTGATGACTTCACCCTGGCCAACCTGCAGATAGAGCCTGATCCTATGTCCTTGGAGGCCACTGGAAAGCTTCTATTGTCCTCAGGGGTGCAAGATAAGATACGAAGGGCCAGATTTGCAAAGGGCTCAGTGCCTAAAGTTGGTCCCAACTCTTTCAGAAGAGTTGAGTTTCTGTTTTGGTACCAATAGAAGAAGCAAGGTTTTCTGTTTTTCTTTTTTTTCTTTTTCTTTTCTTCTCTTCTAGCTTGCACAGCAAGTGCTGATCTCTGCTGAAAATCAAATTGTTCTAGTGGGATCTCCCATTTGCTGAGTGCTTACAAGAATCTGGCCACTTACTTAGAAACTTACATAGGACTTAAGTTATTTGGAAAATGTGGGTGGTGAGCATTTGAAAAACTTATAGCCCCTTAACCCTGGGCAATATTCTGCACTATGTAATCAAACCTGGACCAATAACTTTAACTTGGAATGGAGACCTCTTGGAACCTTGTCCAGTTTCTCTTCTTGCAGGACTTCATTAAAATTTAACTCTTGTTTATCAACTCCAATATTTACCTGCTGAATCTCCAATTTAAAGGATCCCCACCAAAGCCATGTTAGGCTGCATCTCATGTAGGTTGCAATAAACGCACATTCAATATTTTCTATTCTGCCAATAACATTCTGTTGACATTTTAAAACACACTTTGTATATGAAACAGATGTACTGCTGCTTTGTGGCTGCAACAAACGCACATGTTTTTTAAGGGAGAGGATGAGTGTTAAGATTTTTTTTTTAAGTTGATGTTTTAAAATTGCAGTTCTTGCTTTTTTTTAATTTGACATTGTACATTTTTTGAAGAGAACACATACATATTTAATGCAGAAAGTTTGGCTTCTGAAATGCTGCTACAGTTATAACACTGGAGCTCGAGGAAATAAAAAGTGTTTGATCTTTGTCCTTCAGACTCGTGCTTGATTTGTTTTAATGTAACTTTTATATGGTGGTCGCCCCTGGAAGCCTCAACACCCTGTTGTGCTAGGCATTAGGCAAACACTGTAAATGGCAGTTCTTTCCCTGAGCATGGAAAGATGCTCCAGTGCCTAGGGGTGCTGGCCTATTATTTGGGAGAACCGGGTTCATTTCCCTTCTCTGCCACAGACTTCCTTTGTGACCCTTGGGAAAGTCATTTAGCTTCTCTGTGCCTCTATTCCATATCTGTAAAATAGTCACAGTGGCCCTTCACTACCTCACCTGAGTGAGGATAAATATATCCAAGATTATAAGGATATCAGATACTAAGGTCATGGAAGTCAGAAAAATACCATAGACAGGGCCTGCAGTCCAAAACATGATATCACACCCACATGGGCTGGAGCAGAGAAGTAATTGACGTAGGATGACTTGGCACAGATCAGCTGGTGAGTAAAAATTGTCCCTATTAGTAGCAATCTTGCAGTTCTTATGGAAGAAGACATTTGTGGAACGTGTTAT